GCCTGGAGCGCGGCGGACATGCCCTCACAGTGCTGCGCCCTCGTGGGGCCTGGCCGGGACTCACCTCGGTCCCGCAGACTGTGCGTGGCAGGGACGTGAGCCCAGCCGGGCATGGAGGAGTGGGTCGGCGGGCTATCTCAGTGGAGAAGGCCAGTCAGGCCTGCCTGGAGGGGCCTGGCCTCCCAAGAAAGGGGCGGCAGAGCCTTGGCGAAGCGGCACTAGCACGTGGTGCTGTGAACTGTGCAAAGGTAACGCCACGGGTGGAAGCCGCGAGGACCGTGTCTCGGGGGAAAGGCCCCGTGACTAGGTGGAGCCTGTGTCCAAATGCAGAATAGGCTGATGAACACACAGGAACTGGCAGGGGGAACGTCCTCGACCTTAGCTGAGTCTTGAGACGCAGAAGCGGATAACAATGCTGCTCACACTCACACTGGCGCCCGAGCTGCGTGGGCGAGACCGTCGGCCTCCTGAGCGTGAGGACTATGCCTTCTTCCCCCGTGTACATTTCTTTGTTGATCGAATGAATGAATGATGAGTGAATGAACGAATGGAGACATTCCAGAAATGAGCCGGTTCTGAGGGACCGGACAAAGAGTTCAGCTGGGCAGAGCTTTGAGGTGTCGGTGGCCGAAAACAGCTGCAGTCGGGAATTACGTAGATACCATGTGGAAGCCACTGTACCCACAATGCACGTTTCTGCCCTGAGCGTTCAACCCCAAGGATGCGAATGTTTTAGGCTACGGAGTTTGTGAAGGTTACGGTACGAAGCTGGCACGCGCGCGTGTGTGTGTGCACGCACAAACGATTAGTATGCCTGGTTGGCTTGGTTGATTCATGTGGAATTTTCTTAAAGGATTCCGCGAGGTTTGGGGAAAACCGAGAGCGTATGTGAAAACTGCATGTTCTACTAAGAGTCTGAACTGCGGTTTGAAAAGCGAAGACGTGGCCCTGTACTTGCAGGGTCTGACTCCCGTCCTTGTCTCACGGTCAAGTGCCTCTCAGTGGGCGCTCTTAAGCTGAATCCTGGGAGGACGACGGTGACTCACGACTGTTGCTGAAACTGGAGATGCATTTACTGCAGTTGCTTGACTCTCCCAGATCAGGCCGTCAGGGGATGCGAGGGGATGGAGCGTGGGTAACTGGCAACAGCGTTTTTCAGAAATCGTTAGGCCAGAAGATGGAAGCAAAATGAGTTTCAGAAATATAGGATTCCAGGATAAACCTGCTTTTCAAAATGCTCCAAACCATGGTAAAAAGCCAGACTCTGCACTCCTTAGGGCTCATTGCACAGGTGCACTATGGGAAGCCTTCGCCGTTTTCAGAAGCATCAGCTATTGGCTGTGGCTTCAGGGAGAAGGAGAAGCCTCACGTATGTCTTTCTGTAGGAGTAACAAGCTTTATGACTCTCCCGTCCATCTTTCTGATACCAATTATCCTTATTTTAATTTTTTTAATTACAAAGCTTAAAAAAAAGCCCCTTCGGTATTCTTCCACGAGGCTCCTTCCGGCTCCCCGGAAGTAAGAAGAGCTAACAGTCGGTGTGTTATACTGTTGCTTTTGGATTTGAACTTGAACATGGTGCCCAGAGCTTATATTCACTAACATTCTGTGTGTACGCGTGAGGTTGGAACACCATCGAGGTCGCCCAAGAGCCTGCAGAGAAATTCACCTTTGTGTCTCATCTGCCCGTAAACATATCTGCGTGCGTGTACCCATCAGCGGTCGCACGCACATGATCTCTGGGCCCTATGACAGCCCCCAAACACGCGTCGGACAGCTTGCCCAGTGGTTTTTAAAAATCTACGAATCGATTACCAACATTTGAAAATCAGGATATTTCACATAAAAATCTGGGCTCTGGCTAATCTTGAAAACTAGGAAGACCTGCGACCCCGAAGGTACATTTGTAAGGGCAACAACTGGCCAGATGAGAGTAGCGGCAGCCCCTACACCGCATCGCCCCCCGCCTGCCACACCCCCAGCTGTTCCGGTTGTCATGTCGGGCCGGCTGCACCGAAACTTGCATTACCTGCTGGTCCCTACCGACATAAGTTGCTTTTGCAACTCTAATCACTGAGTATCAGATTTGAAAACTACAAATGTTACAGATGGGGTGACCTCTAATGAACTGTCCAAACTAGGACACTTTGAGAGTAAAAAGGGGGTGCTATTGATAACTGTACCAGGACAGAAGGCATAAACTAGGATGGTTTGTACCAGGACAAGCTGTACGGTCTCCCTGTTTGTAAACCACTTCGCTCAACCACTTCGTTGACTAACGAGAAAAATGAGACCTCGAGAGAGGGGTGATTTGCCTGCAGAAATCGCCAAGCACTATAATGGCAGAGCCGCCCTAAGTGCCAGACTCACAGTCAGCTGCTTCCTCCAACGTAACATGCTCTGTATCAGCGGTCCCCAACCTTTCTGGCACCAGGGACCAGGGCTCCTAGGAGAATCTAATGCCTGATGATCTGAGGTGGGGCCGAGGCGGTGATGCCGGCGCTAGGGAGCAGCTGCAGATCCAGATGAAGCTTCGCTCGCTGGCCCGCCGCTCACCTCTTGCTGTGCGGTCTGGTTCGTAACAGGCCATGGACCAGTACCGGTCTGTGGCCCGGGGTTTGGAGACCCTGATCTATATAACATGTGTGAGCACCGTATCCTCCTTGAACGTATGGACTTTTTATAGTTAGTAATTATCACATAGCTAACTCCTGTAAGAACATACAAAATGGTAGCTTATATGATCGATAACATTTCTATTATGAATGTGATTAATGATTTGGGCTATAGCACATCTAGGGATGTTTAAAACATCGATAGGCTTGAGAACTAGAGCGTAAATGCAAGAAAAGCTCATTTTACAAGATACAATAAGAGATATACTTAGGAGAGCTAGTTAATTAAAAAACAAACACCATTAAGTCGATAAGTGGCTTGTTAAAAACACTGCATATTGACTTCTTGATCACTGGTTATTGGCTGGTTACTAATAACTATGACTTTAAGAGGTGTCCAAGATCCCCAATTCCCAAATCCTTGGCCGGCTGGCTATTGCCTTATTGAGTTTCCAGGAGATATTTGTACAGAGAACACTCCAGATGAGACTAATGCATGCCCTTAATCGCCAGCTCAATTTTGGCCCCAAATCTCAGAGAACCGGACCAGACCACGTGGGAGCCTCAGAGTCACCTCTAAGCCTTGTGTGAAGGCGCAGGCCAAAAGCTAGCCCGAGAAGTCTCCTTGAGGATGCGCTTCCCAATGCCCCTTGGCTCCCACTTGTCCTTCTAAGGGACCTTGCAAGCAGCAGATATTTCTTATCACGTCAGCTGCACAAGATGGAAGATAGACAGAACGAAGCTCTTCTTGCCCAAAACGAAACCAGAGCTGGCCTAAGTCACCCCCTCTATGCTTCTTTTCCTTCGGAATGTACTCTGGTCCCAGTTAATTTTCAAATGCGGGACCACTGCCCGTGCGGAGACGTGACCAGGACACCCTCGCCGCACTGGCCTCGTGTAGTCGAGGAGAGCCAAGAAACAGCGAAGATCCCCTGGACCTAACACCGACTGCCGGGCCCCTGCTCCAGCCCCCGTGTCCTGCGGGGCCTGCAATCCTCTGACCTCCGTCAGAGCTGCCTTTCTGTGGGGCGGCTTGATCGAGGAGAGGATGGGGCCCAGCCATGACCTTTAGACTCAAAAGATAAACTACACTCATGCGTGACTTTTTCTCTACTGCACCTCTACAAACTTCAACAGGAAAGGTGGTTTTCTGAGCCAATTCCCCGTGCCTTGAACAGCCCCCTGCAGTGTGATCTACGGGATCCACTGAGCCTCTGAGGTATTAATATTTTGGCTACGTTGATATAAGTAAAAACTATCACTAAATTAATTTCATTTTTTTTAACGCTTTTAGCGTGATTAGTAGAAAAACTAAAACTGCTCATCTTATATTTCTATTGGACAGAGCTGTTCCAGAGGCACAGGTCATGCGTATAAATGAAGATTCGGTTGCGTGCTTAGGGACCACAGTGACAGTTTGCCATCACAAGTGTGAAAGGGGGCCGTTTACAGTTCGTTTCTTGGTGTGACTTGTTTATCAGCAAGATTTCAGTGTGGCAGAGACAGCGGGTACAAGGGCAGGAGTCTCATCAGAACTTTTGCACTTACTTTGATATGAGAACATGACGACAGCATCAGCACTTCCGTCTATACATCAGGGTGGTTTTTGAAACGGATTAACCTCCTTCCCCGCACCCTCCAGTGTGTTGCTTCCTGCACGGCATCTCTGCCAACCAGAGCCTTCGGCAGCACCTGTTCTGACACCAGACCCTAAGCTTTTGTGCCATATCACGCAGGAGGCACTTGGGTCTGTACAATGCCAGCTGTGGGTGCCATATGGAAAAGCCATACCGTGTACATATGTACGGAGTATTTCCGAAGCCAGAAGGGGTGCAGAAGAGCGTGAAACTGATCTAGCTTCATCTTCTCCTTGCCTTTGCAAATTTTAATCATCGAAACATCTTTAGGCTATAAATAGAATCGTGTAGTGAGACAATCCCAAGTTAAAACCAAATATGTACTTGTGTTTTCACATGGACGTAGGACTGTGCGCGGAGGCATGAGAATGTAGGTTGAACGTTTGGATACAGAAGGGTTTGACTTTCCAATAAAATGTGGCAGAGAGATGTCCACACGAACAGAGACGATGTGTGTCAGTCTGCGCAGGCAGGGTTTCCCACATCTGAAGCAGATTTCCTCCTCCCGTAAATAGTCGGAGAGAAAGTTCTGTGTTGGCTTCTGTCTGGTTTAAGTGCCGAGTTCACTTAGACGGCTGCCAGGACTGACGAGGGAGGTCATTCCCTGGACTGCGCCCCGGCGCCGTGCCTGCCTCTCCGCGGGCCAGCAGCCCCGCGCGGGCATGGCGCCCGTCGGAGCCGGGCTTCGAGCTGCGTTTTTCCTTTGCAGTAACCTCGTTCCTTCTCTCTTCCCTTCCACCCCCTCCAGGCAGGACAGGGCTGCTTGCTGATCTCTTGCCCAGTTTCGCGGTGGAGATTATGCCAGGTATTCGGTCACTTAACTCTTCATTTGCTTGATTTGCTGTCGCTCCATCTGTCCTGCTTCTGCATTAGTCACTAATCGCTTCCTTCATTATTTGCACATTTGTCTGTCTATGTCTGTGGTCTTTTCCAGGATGAACTAAGCCCGAGAGAAGAGGCTTTCAATTGTATTTCTGTCATTAGGCCCTAAAAGAATAAGGATCATGAATGTAGGCCGGGATGGGGACCCTGTCCTTCCATGTCAGGCGTGCGGCCCCGACTCCGTGCCCATCTGGGGGTGTCAGCTGCGCCCAGACAGCTCCGGTGCCCTTCACAGAGTCACTACTCACCCACGTCCCTCATTCCCTCAGTTACACATTTACCCACTCACTGGCGTGCAACGTTGTGACTCTGGACTGCCTTTCATAACTTTACCAAAACTCTTTTTCAGACCTCATGGAAGCTGTGCCCTCCACGCCCCTTAAAGAGTGCACATCTACATACAGACCAACGTTGCTTTGTATACAATTTCAGGGGCTTCCGGGGACCCTAGGTCTCTGGGGTTTACGAACCATAGATCAAGGACACCCGCCCCAAATGCACACCTCTGTCCTTTGATGTAGCTGACATGGCAGGGACCAGCCCTGACAAGCCACCATCACTTTGGCGCAGCCCTGCCGTTCATAATAGAAGGCTCAGAGAGAGACAAGCATGACCCACGTGACCCAGTGGAGGCGAGAGCAGAGTCCAAGGGCAGAAAGGGTTTGGTCTTGCTTGGGAGGGTTTCTGCCTCAGGTTTGAGAGCCACCTGACGGTTGAGAGCAACAGAGAGATACGAAATATTCCTGGCCATTGGTTTGGGCTTGATTCGAGTTCTAAGAAACATCCAGAGTCTTCACAGTTGAGCTTTGCTCACTATTCTCCCGTGAATACTCCCGGGCCTTTCCCATTAGCTGGCCAGCCCAGACACACGCATTCTTATTCCCGTTGGTGCCAAGGACACAGATAGACGTCTCTTTGTGATCCCCCTCATCCGGAGTTGCGACAATTTGTAAGCATTTATGGATCACACAGAAAAGAAACAAGATAACACCACATCGCTCCAAACTAGACGTTACATCCCCCGGTCCCAAGAAAGAGTTTACTGTATCTTTCATATCTGGTCCCGGATGCCTGAATTTCCCTCCTTTTTTGTCTGCAAGAATCCTTTCAAGGATAACATTGTTTCTGCAAGGTAGCCCGCCAGTCGTTTCTCCTTGACTGCCTGACCCAACTGTAGCCACCAAGCCACATACCTCGGCTGGGGCTCACATCTCTCTCAGGCTATATGTTACTATGTTACTTCTAAGGCCCAGGCCACAGCCCTCAGCTATTGTCCTCAGCAAGAATGCTCTCCAGACCACCTAACCAGGCACGAGGCCGCCTCAGCTCGTCACTGGAGAGAGGGCGAGCTGGTTCATTGGAACGTATTTCAGGTGGATGAGCGAGGAGGGACATTCCAGAACAGAAGTTGTTTGTTTCCTGAGGAAATTATCTCCTAAACAAAGGTCAAATCATTCTACCGTGATCACAAAACCCCTTATGTAACAAAAGGTCATATTCTCACACTCTAACTGAAGGCCCATTTAATCGAAGGAATATTTAATAACCAAAACTTAAGAAAAACAAAGTGTGCTTAAGTTCATCGTAAAGGGATTTTGGGGAGATGGCTTTCAATACAAATGAATCGCTTTAATCTTCAGGCTTTTAAAAGAAGTCACTGCTCACCCCACTCTCTCCCAGGCCTCCAGTGGGAAGTGGGGTCCTACGGCCAAGCCCCAAAAGCATGACATAAAGACAAGTCCTTCAAGGGCTCGTCATTTTTATCTAAGCCAAATGGAATTAGTTTCCTTCTCCTTAGCCTTTCGGAAGTGCGAATGAACTAGAGTCATGTTCAACCTCGGGCAGAGCTGTGGAAATAGAAGTTAAGGAACACAGACACACAAACACACAGACACACACGCGCACACACAGACACACACACGCAACCACACACACACAGACACACACACAGACACACACACACACACACCCAGAGACACACACAACCACACACACACACAGACACACACAACCACACACAGACACACACACAACCACACACACAGATACACACACAGACACACACAGACACAGACACACACACACCACACACACACACACACACACGCACACACACACACCGGCCTTGCCGGTCATCAAAGCTCTGAGGGGCTTTTGCCCGCGGCTGGGCTGTGCTGGCATCGAGCACGGTCAGCCCGAGTGCGACCAACCCGACCCACCCTCGGGGGTGCGGACAGCACGTTCTCTGCCGGAGCCTGCGTTGCCAGCTTTTAACCTGAGCCCTGACGCTGAGTAAAGGGGGGTGTTACGGGGCGGTCCGCAGAGAAGCAGATGAATCCATAAGGACCTGGACCGCCTAATGCGTTTAAATAAGGGGACCCAGAACTTCTTCTCGAGACTTAGGCTTTTAGCGACAAGATTAACCTGACTACCAAAGATACGTCGTCACGGAAACTACCGCTTTGTAGCTCGGCAGACAGAGTCCCCCTCGCCCAGCACCAGTCTCCTGCTCTTGTCCCAAACCTGTCCTGACACTAGAATCCACTGGGTAGGCCCCTTCCCCAGAGGGGGTCTGAACCCCACGCCAGCACTTTGTGCTGGACAGTGCGTGCCCAAGACGACCCGGGGGACCCCGTCCCCCTTCTCCACGCCCCAGCCCTGTGAGGGTCGTGCTTGTCACTCTCGGTGCTCCTCCCACGTCTGGGGGCTCTGTGCCCTGTGACAGGGCGCCCCCCAGGTCCCTCCCACTCACGCCCCTCGCAGGGAGGCCCTGGCGAGCGCGCGCGTCCGACGGCGGCCCCCTCGAGCGTGGCTCCTCTGTGCGTCCTTCCAGAGTGGGTGTTTGTCGGCCTGGTGACCCTGGGAGTCGCGCTCTTCTTCGTCCTGGTGGGGGTCTGCTGGTGCCAGTGCTGCCCGCACAGCTGCTGCTGCTACATCCGCTGCCCGTGCTGCCCAGACTCCTGCTGCTGCCCTCAGGCCTGTGAGTAACGTGCCCAGTGGGGACGCGCACAGCCGTCAAAAGAAGCGTCACCCTTCCATCGCACAGCCGTGTGCCCCGAGTGCCCTGTCCGCCCCCGTCCCTTCATTCCGGAGCCCCGTCCGCCAGGAGCCCCGGGCCTCCGGCGCTGCCCCCTCGTGTCTGTGTCCTCGCCTGCATGCACCCTCCACGCGCTCTGTCCACACCCGCCTCCCGTGCTTTTGGGATTCTCGTCAACACGACTGACGGAAGGGCAGGCTCGGGGTGGCGAGGCTGCGGGGTGGGGCTCTTGCCCTCTCCCCGGGAGCTCAGACTGGGGGGACCTCCTCCCGACCCGCCTGTCACGGCAGAGAGCTGAGTAAGCAGAGCGTGCACACCGCAGCCTTTGGCACCATCCAGCCACACATGGGGTTTGTTCACTCCTATGGCAAAATGGTCCTCAGTGGGGATTCGCAATGTCGCCTTACTGACCAGCCCAACCTGGGCTTTAAGCCGGGCGCCCCTGCCATAAACCAAACACGTGTTGCGGGAGAGGGATGCCACACGTATCTTCAGTGGCCTCGGGAATAAAGCTGTTCGCGGGAGGAGTCCGGTCATCTGCTCTGAGCTCACAGGGCAGGGCCACGGCCGCCCACTGCTCACATCGCCTCTCCGGAAGGGGCTCAGGGTCTCCCTGCAAGCAGCCCCAGGCAGCCCCAGGGCTGCGGCCGCCCCCAGACAGTGTGCTTAGGCGTGGGCTGCTGCTGTCACTGGAGACACTGCTGTGACAGCTCCCAGTACCGCCTAATTACTCAGTTGCCAGGTACTAAACACTGTAATTCCTGATGTCGTTGCCTTTCAACGGAGCTAGAGGAGTCCAAGGGAGTGGGGGGAGGGGTCCAGGGGAGCAGTTCAGGCCTAGGACTGCGCGCACACGCGCACATGCACGCGCACAGGCGTGCACACACACACGCACATGCATACACAGGCACACGCACGCACACAGGCACATGTGTACGTGCACAAACGCACAAGCACACGCACATAGACACACGGACACAGGCACATGTATACACACAGGTGCATGCATGCAGGCGCACACACATACGCACACACACACACAGACACACGTGCACATGCACACATGCACACACACATTCCCATAGACACATTCATGCACACGCATGCACATGCACACACGCGCACACACACATACGCACACACACACATGCAGGTCCACATCCAGGAGCCCCCTGAGCGCAGCCTTAGCGACGTCGGCGTGAGGGTTGTGGAGGGCGGGACCACGTAATCTCTCTTGCTCTTCATCTCCCTCCACAGTGTATGAAGCAGGGAAAGCAGCAAAGGCGGGGTACCCTCCCTCTGCCTCCGGTGTCCCCGGCCCCTACTCCATCCCCTCTGTTCCCCTGGGAGGAGCCCCCTCATCCAGCATGCTGATGGACAAGCCGCTTCCACCTCCCCTGGCTCCAAGTGACTCCACTGAAGGAAGCCACAGTGGTAAATGTGGTCCCAGACCGCCCCGCCCGTGCTCGCCCCCAGCTCCTGCTCTGGCTCCTTGCTGATGACGGCCATTAGCTCAGCGACGCTTCTTTGGAAAATCGCTCCAGAAATGGGATCCCTCCAGCCGTGCTGGAGGCCCCTGGAGTGCATGCCAGGCTTTCCAAGGGCACAGAACTAGCTGCCCACACTTTCTTCCCAGGCTCCTCGATAACTAAAACGATACGAAAAAGAGGCGAGGTGCCCCCTTGAAAGTCGATCATTCAGTGAATAAATCGCTTTCTCATCCCTCCCTGGCGCTCGGGGCTGTGACCGGTACTCCAGGCGCACTGAGAAGTGTGGGCCGTGGCTTGTGTCACGGGCACTGTGGGCCAGCCAGGGAGAGGGGCCGGACCGCATTAGGACAGTTAGATGCCGGAGAGTATGGCGCGGGGGTTCGAAGGTGCTGGGGTGCTTACCAAGTCTTCAGAAAAAAGGTGAGATTTGAGCTGGGCCTTGAGGAATGAGAGGATCAGGAAAGCAGAGTGGGGGGTGCCGAGCACCCCCAGGAAGGCAGCAGGGTGTGAGCCAGAGCTGGGAGAACACGGTGTGTGTGTCTGATGGTGTCAGCTTGTCTGACTCCCTAATATGGTGGAGCCTCGAACTGCTCCCCACCAGGAGGTCTGGGGCTCGGTGCCACAGCCAGTGAAAGCCACTGCAGGCAGAGTCCCGAGTGGAGAGGTGACATGCTGACAAGGCGAGTGGCTAGTTGGAGAGAGTGGAGTCAGACACCTGAGCTGAAATATGACCGAAGTTGTCCAGGTGGGATGGTGAGTGTCTGCATGGAGACCCCGGTGTCGACGTGAGCCGGTGACCGGCAAGAGGCTCTGACAGAGGGAGTGATAAGACTGGAGGGGACAGGGGGCCTCGGGGTGTACCCAGGTCATCCAGCGGTGTGTGGCACAGACGGAAGCGAAGCCACTGGGAAGGAGAGCTTATTTGGATGAGATCGGCCCCATTTAGGGTGTGATGAGTTTGTAACCGGGGTGCAAGTGTGTTAAAGTGTCGCTTTCCTGGAGGCGTTTGAAAGTGTCACATAGTGAGTGAGGTTAGAATTGTATGTGTGTGGTCTCAGGAGGTGACTTTAAACCCCTGCATGGGGGATGAGCCAGTAGTGCTGGCGACACAGACCTTTCTCCCCTAGAGGGTCTGGTCTGCCTTTGGCGGGGACGGGGACCTGGGCCACCTGACGGTCGGTGCTCATCCGCGGGCGTGGATCTGCTCAGCGAGTGACTGGGATTTGTGTTCTTTCTCTCCCCGGAACTATTAGTCGAATTCTGACGTCTGAGACCAGGAATGAGTCACAGACTGAGAAGCAGAGAGAGATTAATGATCAAGGAGACACAGGGACTTAGGGCGATGAAGACAACACAGTCCGTCCCCCCAAAGGATGGAGTGGGCAGGAGGGACGCCCGTGGGGCCCGCCTCACACTTCGCAGCTTCCGTTTTCCAGTCTTTCTCCCTCCTTCCCTTCAGAAACCTTCCCCTCTGCTTTTCATTTAGTGAGTCTCATAACAAAATGACTCACAATCCCAGAGTGGCAAACACGTCCTCTCCTGTTGTCAACCACTGTCCAGGCCCTGCCTGCTCCAGTTCTGCCGCAGGGACCGACTGTGGTTAGAAGCAGCTTGACGAATAGGAAAATTCGTTATCTCACAGAGCGAGAAATCCCAAGGTTAGGTGGCTCTGGGGTCGGCCAACGGAACAGCTCAGGTGGCATCACCGAGGGTCCTCGTCCTCTCCACCTTCCTCTGTCATCCCGAGCAAATCCCGTGTCATGATCCCACGCCGACTGCCCTCATTCCAGGTGTTCCTGCTTTCAGAGACAGAAAAGACATGCTTCTTCCTGTGCTGCTTTCCCCGGGGGTGGGGAAGCTTTTCCCCAAGCCCCGCCTCCGTCCTGCAGACTTCTCCTGGCTGTCTGGTTGGCAGGAATTGTGTCCCCTGCCCACCCCTGAGCCACATTGGCTTGGACGAATCAAGACCCATCTCTTAGGCCAGAACATCTAGTCACCTTGGAGATGAACGAAATCGGGGTTCTGTCAGAAGGAAAAGGGGAAGGAATACAACCGATGCCGGTGCAGCTGGCCCGGCCGAGTCGGGAGACGGCTCCTCGTGACCCCACCGGGCGCCTTTCAGTACCCGTCACCTTAACGGCCAGGATCAGTGATGACGTCTGGCCGCAGCCCCCACTCCACACAGAGTACTCGTCAGGGCGTGTCGGGAGCGTTAAGAAAAGCTGATTTGCCGTGATGCACGTTGAGGCTGCTTCATCGTGGCGTGCCACTGCGCGCGACGTCCGACGGCTTCCTCACGGTCCTCGCCTCCCTCGGCTTCTCAAAGCTCCTGCCACCCCCGACACACTCGTCTTGGGGCAATCACCCAGCGACGGTAATTTCTCAGATGGCGTCTGTACACCACACCCGCGAACACTCTGGGGAGCTGCAAAGGCACCTTCGATGAGCTGTGTACGCGGAACCCAGCCGGCTGGTCACCGAATGGGAGACAGAGACAAGAGGCACCCCGATTCCTTCTCCCCCTCTTCACGGCAGCTGGTTGAGACCTCGAGACGGCCCCCTGCTCCCCAGCTCTGGATCCGGCCCCTGCAGCTCCGCCAAGGTCCCCCCTTCCCTGAACGCCCGCGTGTCCAGCCATCCGTCTTCGTGCCTCTTCCTCTCAGCTTTCGGACCCTGCTCAGACCTCTCCCGCCAGATGCGACGGCCACGTGCAGAACCCCGGTCATCCTGGCGTTGCTTCCGTCCCGCTGTTCGCCTCTTCCCGGCCAAACGCCTGGAAAGAGCTTTGAATGTCTCACGTCTCCACGTCCTCTTGCCGCTGCTCTGGCCCAGACGGCCTCACTGCGCGCTCCGTCCGACGGCTTCCTCGCGGTCCTCGCCCCCCTCGACTTCTCAAAGCTCCTGCCACCCCCGACACGCTCGTCTTGCTTTGCCTTCCTCCACTCTGCCCTTGGTCGTTTCTCTGCCCCTTTTGCTACCCACCGGCTGCTCCCGCCGCGTCCCGCATCCTCCCCCTGGGAGATAGCACCTGCTCCCAGGCCGCAGCCATCAGCTCTGTGCTGGTGCCTCTGACCTCCCCTCCGCTCCCCACACCCACGTGTGCAGCTGCCTCTGGACATCTCCACGGGGACGTCCTGCCGGCACCTCAACCTTGACCTCTGGGAAGGTGACCCAATCTGCTGTTGGCTGATGTCAAACCAACTCGTACATTTCCTATTCCGGTGGCTGGCACCACCGTCCACCTACCAGCCCAGACCGGAAGCCAGGACCGCGCCCTCTGCGCTTTCTCGCCCTCACTCCCCTCATGCAATTGCTCACCGATTCCTGCGGGTTGTAGCTCAAAATACCCTTGAATCGGTTTACGTTCCTCCGTCTCTACGGCAGCCACCCCGGCCCCTGCTGCCATCACCTCCCACCCAGACCGATGGCATCGTCTCCTACCTGCTCTCTGCACAGCTACTCTTCCCTTGCTCCGATCTGTTTTATTTTCACATCTACCTGGCCTCCACTCATTTTCCTTGCAAAAGAATTGAGTAGGCAAGTAGTGTTTTGAAACGTCCTTTTCAAAACTAATAAGGATGCGTGTCTCTATATATGCCTACTGTGTGCATACAGAGAACATGCAGATTTTAAGCGTCACCTCTCCCACAGCTGAGCTGCCGTCACCCTGGGGGCGGAATCTGGCAGCTGTCCCATCATCCATAAACAGCCTTACTTAGCTCATTAAGCGAGGACGTGGAGAACAAGCCTATATTCATGGGCATCTACCGTAGAGACATCTTTTGCAAGTTTTATAAGTTGCATTTGGCCATACAGGGGAAATTAACTGAAACAATAGTCAAGCCTTAATGAGTCAAAAGTATTAGCTCAAATCTTTTAACGATGAGAATTTTTTTAAATTATAGTCTGCCATCAAAATGAATATCCTGATATTCCCTCTCCAGTAAAACCAAAGTGTGCCCGGCTAATACATTAGAAGAGAAGACATTTGAAGACTCATACCCACCAAAGGACCTGGACTAGACTGGACTTGAAAAGAGAAACGAACCACCCATCCACTCTAAACCAAAATGTCACTGACGGGG